AGAACACCCTTCAGGGAAAGAGAATAGACTCTTAGGACTGGAGATGAGAATAAAGAAATTACAGTTCACTCAATCCCAGCATCTCACAAGTCAATCTTTCAATCCTGATTTGGGATCTGAGAGGAGAAATGAGATGACAAATCCCAAATGTACAGTGACTTGAGGGTGAGTTTGGCATCAGCTCACTCAAAGTTATTTCTTCTGCTCCCCAACCTCCCTACCCAGCAAGTTAGAATTCAATCTTATTTTTAAATAAGATAAAATAAATCTTATTTAAAAATAAGACCACGGTGGCTCACACCTGTAATCCCAGCACTTTGGGATGCTGAGGCAGGTGGATCACCTGAGGTCAGGAGTTCAAAATCAGCCTGGGCAACATGGTGAGACCCCATCTCTACTAAAAATAAAAAAATTAGCCAGGTGTAGTGGTGTGCACCTATAATCCCAGCTACTGGGGAGGCTGAGACAGGAAGATCACTTGAACCTGCGAAGCAGAGGTTGCAGTGAGCCGAGATCGTGCCACTGCACTCCAGCCTGGATGATAGAGTGAGACTCCATCTCAAAAAAAAAAAAAAAAAAAAATTCCAGAAAAAAGTGATGCCACCTGGGTTTTCACTGCTCTGATTAAGAAATTCCTCCTTTGAGGCTGAGCACACTGGCTCACTCCTGTAATCCCAGCACTTTGGGAGGCTAAGGCAGGCAGATGCCTTAAACCCAGGAGCTGGAGACCAGCCTGGGCAACATGGTGAAACCCCATCTCTACTAAGACAAAAGTTAGCCAGGCGTGGTGGTGCATGTCTGTAGTCTCAGCTACTTGGGAGGCTGAGGCAGGAGAATCGCTTGAGCCTGGGAGGTGGAGGTTGCATGAGTAGAGACCATGCCATTGCCTCAAGCCTGGGCGACAGAGCAAGACTCTGTCTTAAAAAAGAAATAAATTCCTCTTGTGGTTTATCTATAAACTGTAACCCCCTTTTCAGACTTCATTTCCTCTTTTTTGCCCATCCCACCTTCACTGGAGCTAGAAGAAGATGGACCCATAAAGTAGGCCTGTATTTTTATATAAACACTGGACACATTCTTCCTTGGATTTGAACTACCATTTTGTCCTTTTTAAAGTAAAAATAGCTATGGCAATCAAGGCACTCAAATACCTAGGAATAATTTTAACAAGAAGTATGTAAATTCTACATAATGAAAACTAAAATTCTACTGATGGGGCGCCAATGACTTAAATGTATAGGAAGACTCTGTATCATACATTCTCCTTTATATAATCTAAAAATATGTGATTCCAATCAAAATAACAATAACAGAATAGAAAAGTAAATTATGGTTCAATATAGCCCCACAATATTATACTACACAGTAGTCAGAATGAAGGGACTAAACCTATACACAATATGACTGAATCTCACATAAATAATTCGAATAAAGGAAGCCAGACACAAAAGAATACATACTCTGATTCTCTTTACATAAAAAGCAAGAACAGGCAAAATTAGTTTATGATATCAGGAGTCAGAAGAGTGGTTGTCCTTGAGAAGAGCAGTGACTGCGAGGGAACCCACAAGTGGCTTCTGGGGCACTAGTAATGTTCTGTTTCTTGATCTGCTGCTGTTTACACAAATGTATTCCATTTGTGAAAATTCATCAAGATATATACTTGTCATTTGTGCATTTTTCTGCATGTATATTGTAAATTAATTTTTTAAATTGTGGTAAAAAAACATAATGTACACAATTTTAAAAAATTTTAAATGATCAATGGAACAAAATGAAAAAAATCCAGAAACAGACCCAAATACATATGGCAATGTGGTATTATAAAGGTAGCATTCAAAAACAATGGAGAAAACATGGGTTATTCAATAAGAAGGATTTGGAAAAAACAGAACAAAGTTGGATCTCTATCTCACACCTTTACACCAAAATAAATTCCAGGTGAATCAAATATTTATATATACAAAGACACTATCAAAGTACTTTTCAAAAAACATAGGACCTTTAAGAATAATCTTAAGTAGTGGGAGACTTTTCTAAAAATTATATGAAACACAGAAGTTGGCCAGGCACAGTGGCTCACGCCTGTAATCCCAACACTTTGGGAGGCCAAGGCGGGTGGATCCCTTGAGGCCAGGAGTTTGAGACCAGTCTGGCCAACGTAGCAAAACTCTGAGTCTGCTAGAAATATAAAAATTACCCAGGTGTGGTCATACACGCCTGTAATCCCAGCTACTCAGGAGGCTGAAGCACAAGAATCTCTTGAACCTGGGAAGCAGAGGTTACAGTGGGCTGAGATCACGCCACTGTACCCTGGACTGGGTAACAGAATGAGACTCTGTCTCAAAAAAAGAAAGAAACAAACCCAGAAATTATCAAATAAAATACTGATAAATTCAATTACATAAAAATTTTTAAATTTTGCAAAGAATAATCATAAACAGGCTAAGGGCAGGGGCTCAGGCCTGTAATCCTAGCACTTTGGGAGGCCAAGGCAGGCTGATCACCTGAGGTCAGGAGTTGGAAACCAGCCTCAAAATATACAATATACATAGAACAAACTGGGAAAACGGAAAATACTTGTTATATGTATAAACAATATACATAGAACAAACTGGGAAAAGGGACTTTTTTTTTTTTGAGAGGGAGTCTCGCTCTGTCACCCAGCTTGGAGTGCAGTGGCAATCTCGGCTCACTGCAACCACCACCTCCCCAGTTCAAGCGATTTTCCTGCCTCAGCCTCCCAAGTAGCTGGGATTGCAGGCGCTTGCCACCACAACAGGCTAAGTTTTGTGTTTTTAGTAAAGACCTGGTTTCACCATGTTGGCCAGGCTGGTCTCGAACTCCTGACCTCAAGTGATCAGCCTGCCTCAGCCTCCCAAAGTGCTGGGATTACAGGCGTGCACCACTGCACCTGGCCAGGAAAATACTTTTAACTTATATACAAACAGCAAGTATTAAGAAATGACCCTATAACCAATAAAAATATGAACAGAATAGAAAAACAGAATTTACAAAAAAACTGCCATGTAACTATATTAAAAGATGCTCAACTTATAAGAGCAATGAAATTTTATCTTGCAAGGAGATAGCATTTACACGATCAGATTGTCAAAAATCAAGAAGTTTAACAGCACCAGTGAGCTATCAAACAGGTTCTTTTCATACATTGCTGATGGGAGACAAAATTGGTAAAATTTCCAGGGAAGGCAATTTGGTAATACTAACTAAAATCATTTTCAAAAATTGCTGGTGGGATGAAAATTATAAAAATCTTTGTGGGAGGAAGGGAATTTGCAAAATTTTATCTATCCAAATGAAAAAACAATGCACACACTTCTTTAACTTGGCACTTGCATTTCTAAGTATTTATCATACAGATATGCAAGAAGGAAATGAAGTATCCTTGCATATCAATAAAATGTTAAAGGACTGGTTAAATATATCTTCCTATGTCCCTCAGGCACACTCCGAAACTATCACTATGAGGCAGATACGTATATGCTGCTACGGAAAGATTTCCAGACTGTATCAAAGAAAGTTGCAAAATAGTACGTATGTTATCAACTGGGTTAAACAAAATATATGTGTGTGTGTGTGTGTGTGTGTGTATATACTGTATATATTACACATATACACACATTAACTATAGAATATCTTGTAAAAATTTTCACAAGAGACTGGTAACCCTGGTTGCCTTGAAGGAAAGAAGATTTATTCACTATAATAACCTTGTTTCTTCTGAATTTTGTGGAATGTAAATGCATTACTTATTCAAAACGCATACACATTTTTATATTAATAGAAAGCAAAACCTGAAGCCCAAAGGCATCTCCCTAACTGACAAAAGATACAACCTTGCATTCTTTCAGCAAACGTTAATTGCTCATCACCTGCCAGGTATTGTGATGGAAGCTAGTGCGGAAGATCCCCCAATGACCAGGAGCACCCGACACCTGTCCCCAGGGTGAGCCCCTAGCGCGGGGCGGGGACAGGGTGGACCGCGTGGGGCGCAGGGTTGGGCTCGCGAGGCTCCCCGCCGCGCGGAGGCGGTAGCAGGACCCAACCGTTCCTAACGGTCCAGGGACCAGGACAGCGTCTGGAATAAAATCTTCCAAAGCAAACTTCCGCCTGCAGAGACCCGCTCCCTTCCTTGCCCCCACAGAAACGCCCCCCGCCACCCTGCGGCGTAGGCCTTCACGCTGTCGCCTCGACTCGTTTCCTCGAATCCCCAGGGAAGGGTGGGCCCCTGGCGCCCCTACGGTCCCCTGCCCCCTTACCACTGCGGTCGGAGCTCGGGTCTCACTCTCCTGCCGCTGTTTCGGGCCACACCTTGTGTCCGTGCCTCCGCAGAGGAATAGAAGAGTGGGTCCTCGCTCTCTGCGGCGCACCGCTTGTCCTTTCACCTCCTCTCCATCTACAAAGCCTATTTCATGTTTTCCAAAAAGAAAACGTTTTCGGTGTCTCTTGAGTACTCGTCGCCATACGCGGAGCCAGACTGATCTACGCAAAAGATCGCAAGAGAAACAACTAATAGAGCATCGCCCATCATGAGGCTGCTCTCCCGATGGTCACTGAGTTGTGTTGTGGCACTGTCTTTGTACAAAGACACCAATTTTGTGCGAACGGTGGACACGCATGATTCAACGCTCTCACGCCTAGGTCCCAGCAGCATGAGCGCCGATTTTCCCCCGAGGGTTAGAAGATAGAAAACTCTTCGGTAATTGGCCTAGAGGTGGTCTGCGAGGTCTCCGGGAAGCTTGTAATTGGCTGTTTAATTCTCAGCAGGTGCGGTCTCAATTAACAACATCTGCTTTTCCTGGATCTTATTGGCTGATAGGGTGGGCCTGCTTTGGATTCCATCCGGGTAATTGGGCAGTGGCTAGCAGCAGCCACGTCGCTCAGGGGCAGCCCGCGGAAGGATTGGTTGTTACGGGAGAAGGCGATTGGTCGGACTGCGAGCAGGGTGTTGACTGGTGCTAGCGGGCTGCGGGGGCGGGGAAGTGGCGGCTGAAGTGCCGCAGGCGGGGCTCCCAGTCGCCGTGTGAGTGGGAGGCGGCGGCGGCTGTGGCTGCAGCTGGGGTGAGGCGCGAGGCGGCGCGCTCGACGGCTGACTGGAGCAGCGGTAAAGGCGGGGATGGAGAGAGAAGGTTTGGGGAGTGGGAAAGACTGGGTCATGGGCAGCCCTGGCCACTAGGAGACGGAAATGCGGGATCGAGGGAAGGGAGGGGTATGGCGTGCTGCGGGGCGAGGGAAGGATGTGGGGCGCAGGGGCGGGAGTCAGAGCCCTGGGCTGTGAGACGCCGCTCGGGGGCAACTTGACCCACTGGGAACTCATAACTATATCTGAGGAAAATGCTCCGGTCACACGCTTACGCCACAACGGACCCGGTGCAGGAGCGTTTGTGTTTGCCCTGAGTCAGTTCACACTCGTCCACTGGGCCTTTTTGAGATGGAGAGCTGCCATCCGTGTATCACTTTGCCTTTAACTTTCCCCAGCTTTTTCTTTAGTTATCGCTAATAGGATGGCTGTTGACAGTTGTCAGAATAATACTTTGGGGTTTTTGTTTTTCCAGTATCCCTCCTTATTCTTTAATGCAGGTATCATCGTGGGGGTTGGCTGGAGACCCCCATTAGAAAGATTGACTTTTAGACCCTTTCCTTGTTTTGAGAGAAAGGGGTTGACCCTTTTTTTTCCTCCTGAGTTTAAAATGAAACGTACCAAGGATGAGAACATTGAGCTGCTTCGATTCAAGCATGTCACCATGTTGTAGATCCTTGGTAGGTTCTGGTTATTAGGAGATACTGGAATGAGTTATCTATGCTTTCATGAAGCTAACAATGTGATTTGACTCCTGATCACATCCTATTTGACTCCTGTCATTTTAAATGATAAAGTAAGCCTTAGCAATGCATATCAGATAGTTGTTGGCAATTGTTCAATACAAATGTCAGGAAATTTCAAAGTTAGCTTTTACTGAAAACCGTTATCTAACCACATACCTCACTCAGCAATGATCCTCATCTCCTCTTCTTAGCTTCCCCTAGGAACTGTGGTCTTAAGTTCTAGTCTCTTCCTCCTTCCCATTCAATTTTTAAGTAATAAAATCAAACACAAACTAGCAGTCAGTACTACGCAGTTATCCCCGTTTACATTATATTATTTTCCATTTCTCTTTAAGAGAAACCTACAACTGAAAGGATATGAAAATTATGAACAAAACCACAGTGACAGATCAAGTAAATTCTCATTTTTGAGACATCAGCTGATAACTAGCACAAATTCATTTGTAATGTCTGAAGAGGAGTTAGTGAAATTTACCTTTTGCTTCAAATAGAAGTCGGCCAAAAAAAGCCACGTCTATAATCTCAGCTACGCCCGATGATTGTGGGAGTTCAAGGCTGCAGTGAGCTATGATCATTCACTGCATTCCAACCTGGGTGACAGGCCAAGGCTCTGTCTCTATCCAAACAACAACAAACTCTCCAATTCGTCTACTTTCCATCTCCATCATTGACACCTGGACTAGTCCCTGATTGGTCTCCTGAAGCTACCGTTGCTGCCTTCAATTCATTCTCCTCACCACGGACACAGATGTTAATCAAGAATGACAAGCGTGGCATGTGTGAATGAAGGCATATTGGGGATCCTGTGGAAGCGCATAGCAATGTAACTCAACCCAGTGTAGGGGATGGAGATTGAGGGGCCTTGGCTGCAGAGGCCCCTCGGCACTTGATCTTGATAGTGTCAGAACTGGAAAACAAAAGTTCTGCTAATCCTTTGGGCCTCTGTAAAGAGGTGTGATTATGACTGGCCATCAAAACAGACTTATTTCCCTTGCACACTGTATTGTGTAGAAATGACTAATTAGCGGTGTGACCTTAGATCAATTCTTTTCTATCCCTGAGCCGCAGTTTCCCAAATTGAACATTATTAATGGAATCAAATAAGTTCTGTAGTCCCTTCTAGTTATAAAATCTTTTGATTTCTATGCCCCATAAGCATGAATTATGGCCAGAAAGGTGTTTTTAGAAGCAGACGGCATGAAAATACAGATCAAGTTCATTCTTGTTCATGGGGCTAGATTTCAGTTTCCCAAAGCCTTTAAGACCTAAAGACTCCTGCCCGTCAGGATCTTCCATGCCAGACAAGAAACTCCATGAAGGCAGCTGCCAAGTCTATCTTGACTTTTGTGTCCCCAGTGCCAAGCACACATCAGAACTCAATACTTATTGGCTTGAATAAATGTCCATTTACTGCAGTTCATTCATGTAGTATTGGTTTGCAGAAGGAAAGTGAGTTGTATTTTAATGAGATGATTTTCAGCTATGCACCATCTAAGAAACCTTAAGGTTCTAGCTCCTTTCAGCTGTCACATTGACCAAGAATTTATACAGTCGTCTCTCCATTATCTGCAGGGGATTGGTTCCAGGAACCCCACAGAACCCAAATCCATAGATTCTCATGTCCCTTGTATAAGATGCATAGTATTTGCATATAACATACACACATCTTGCCCTATACTTTTTTTTTTTTTTTTTTTAACCCCTTCAGGCAAATTCTCACTCTGTTGCCCATGGTGGAGTGCAGTGGTGTGATCAGTTTACTGCAGCGTCCACCTCCCGGGCTCAAGCCATCCTCCCACCTTGGCCTCCTGAGTAGCTGGGACTACAGGTGTGCACCACAACGCCCAGCTAGTCCTTTGGGCCTCTGTTAATTTTTGTGATTTTTTTGTAGAAACAGTCTCACTGTGTTGCCCAGGCTAGTCTTGAATATTCGATCTCAAGCAGTCCTCCCACCTCAGCCTCTCAAAGTGCTGGGATTAACAGGCAAGAGCCACTGTACCCAGCCTGTTTTGGTGTTTGTTTTCTAGACTATGAAGGTTTCCAAGTAGAAATTCTTCTTCCTCCTTCTGTCCCCAACATGCTCAGCACATAAGAAAGAGCTAGCACTATTTAACCAAGACGCATTAATAATGGAGACAAGCTAGGAACTTGAGTGGTCATATAAGAAAATATCTAAGTGGGCACGGTGGCTCACGCCTTGTAATCCCAGCACTTTGGGAGACCGAGGCGGGGGATCACGAAGTCAGCAGTTTGAGACCATCCTGGCCAGTATGGTGAAACCCTGTTTCTACTAAAAATACAAAAATTAGGCAGGCATGGTCGCAGGTGCCTGTAGTCCCAGCTACTCGTTAGGCTGAAGCAGAAGAATCGCTTGAACCTGGGAGGTGGAGGTTGCAGTTAGCTGAAATCGTGCCACTGCACTCCAGCCTGGGCAACAGAGCGAGACTCTGTCTCAAAAAAATACATATATATATATATATCTCTCTGAAGTAATCAGGGGACAAAAGAAGTCAAATCCTTTCTGGAATAAACCAAGAATAAACCATCTCAATGTAGAAAAGTAGCAGTTTGGGAAGTATGTATTCAAGAATTAGTTAAGCCGAAAATCTCCTTTATGAAACAACTTGTTTCCTTTGGTATATACAAAGATGCTTATATAATACCATCCAAATTTTCAGGGTGGTGAAGGGTTTTATTTGCAGCCTATTTAAAAAAAGAGAAGCTAATGTTTATCCAATGAGTTGGAGAAAGAACCTCATAAATGAAAGCAAACAGCCTACATTAAACTCAACCCTTTCTGTCCTACATTCTAAAAAGGTCAGGAGAGAACAGTATTCCCTCAGATTGATAGTCTCTAAAAATGATATACTGAATTTACCAAGTAATGACCCAAAGTAGACAACACACTTGAAAAGAGGTACCCATCCCCCACCCCAGTAGTAAAAGGCGGTTTTGTTTTTTGCTCAGGCTGCGAGTCCGGGCAAGAAGGTGGATTAAATTTGTTTAAAACCAGAATATAGAAAAAATAGATTTGGCAAACTTCTGGTAGTTCTCTGAAGAACTTTATTCAGTTCTATTGATCAGTAAAACTCTGAGGCCAGATACAAATTCTGGTCATCTGTATGACAGTGTAGTAGTCTCCCCTTCTCCATGGTTTTGCTTTCACTTACCCATAGTCAATCCTGGTCTAAAAAGATTAAATGGGAAGTTCCATAAATAAACAATTCTTTTTTTTTGTTTGTTTAGTAGAGACAGGGTTTCACCGTGTTAGCCAGGATGGTCTCGATCTCCTGACCTCGTGATCTGCCCGTCTCGGCCTCCCAAAGTGCTGGGATTACAGGCTTGAGCCGCCGCGCCCGGCATAAACAATTCTTAAGTTTTAAATTGTGCACCATTCTGACTAGCATGATGAAATCTCCATCCTGATCCAGATGAGAATCCTGCCTTTGTCCAGCGTATCCATGCTGTATATGCTGCCCGCCTCTTAGTCACTTAGTAGCCATGTTGGTTATCACATTGAAAAAACCTATAGTTTTCAGTACTCCAAGGCATCCACTGGGGTTCTTGGAACATATTTCTCAAGGATGAGAGAGGATGACTGTTGTAAGAAACCTACCTCCAGCCTCCCTTACCTGACTCTATCTGCTCCTCAGTGAGATTTCGGTGCTAGATGTTCTCCTTTCTCTCTTCACTCTTCCTGATCGGCTGTGCTTTCCCTGAAAGCCTAAGTTTTATTCCACAGTAGGTTTTGTATTAGTGAGTATGTTTTTAGCCTTACCAGGATAAAGCCAGTGTTTCCCCCCAAGGTGAAATACATTTTTGTTTATTATAATTATTTGGGTTCAATTTTTGTACCTGGAGGCAAATTATAGCAAAGTTACATTCACTCATTTTTAAGCAAATCTCATTTAAAGCCAGCTTGCTTTATTCTACTTGATCGTAGTATCTAGAAATACAGATATTTAGTTTTCAGTTTTTTATTACCTATCTTTAGTTTTTTTAGTCTTCAGTGTTTTTTTAACCACCTACAATACTTTCTGTCAGTATTAATTTTGAATTGGATATGTTAATCAAAATAAAGAATAAAAATACAGGTGCTGTTACCCTGAGAGTTTAGGTAAAAAGAAGGGTGGGGAAGGATTTCTAAAATCACTTTACAAGGTTTTTTACACGCAAATAATAACCCAGACTCTGGGTTAGAGATTAGATAACCTCTTCAAGTGTGTGTACTCTTCTATAGGATTAATATTTCCTACTTTACAGGGTTATATGACTATTAAATAAAATTATGTAATGTGCCTGGCATAGTAGCTACTCAACACATTTATCTTTTCATTTTTGTGTCTTTAGTGCCACAATAGCATCTAGCACATAGTACTTACTCCAGCTCTTGTGCTGAGAATAAACCGAATGGACAATGGCAAATGCCGGAACGTCATTAGGCAATGAAGTAATCTAGGGAAAAGATGGTATTTTAGAGCAGGGTCATAGAACTGCAAAGAGAAAAGGTCAGATTCTGGATAATTTGAAGGCAGAGCAAATAAGATTTGTCGACAGGCTAAGTGTGCAGTGTGAGAGAGAGGATGACGAAGTAAGAGAATGCAGTCGAGGCGGAGCACAGTGGCTCACCCCTGTAATCTCAGCACTTTGGAAGGCTGAGGTTGGTGGATCACTTGAGCCCAGGAGTTCAAGACCAGCCTGGGCAACATGGTGAAACTCTCTCTCTACAAAAAATACAAAAATTAGCCAGGCGTGGTGGCATGCACCTGTAGTCTTAGCTACTGGGAGGCTGAGAGGTGGGAGGATTGCTTGAGCCCAGAGGTTGTGGCTGCAGTGAGCCATAGTTGCACCACTGCATTCCAGCCTGGCAACAGAGAAAGACCCTGTCTCAAAAGAAAAAAAAAGGAATTGCCATTTGCTGAGATGGCAAAGATTATGGCAAGGGGGTGAATCGGGAGCTCAGTGTTAAGTTGAGATGTATATTAGACATCAAATGGAGATCCATGTAGGCAGTTGAGAAGGGTCCTACATGGATCTATTAATTTGGAAGTTATCAGCATATAGATAGGAGTTAACGCCAGTCTGTGAATGAGACTTGAGATCACCAAGGAAGTAAGGTAGAACAGAGAAGAGGGCAAAGGACAGATCCCCGAGGCACTCCAGTGTTTAGAGGATAGAAAAATGCGAAGAAATCAGCAACTGGGAGACTGATGGAATAGCCGGAAAGGAAGGAGGAAAACCAGGAGGGTGTGCTATGGAGAAAGTGTTTCAGAGAAGAGGGAATCACCAGCTGTGCCAAATACTGTGGGGACATCTGGTGAGATGAGAACTGAGAATCAGTCTTTGGATTGAGCAATGTGAAATCATTGGTGACCCTGATGTGAGCAGTTAGAGTGGATTTAAGAAGAGAACTTGAGGACAGATGTATTGACACTCAAGTTTTCCTTTAAAAGGAAGAAAAGAAATGGGAAGTAGTTGAAGTGAAATCCAGGGTTTTCTTTAAGAACGGAGAATGTTTGTCTGCTGATGGGACTGTCTAGTAGAGGGGAAAGAAAATGTTAATAATGCAGGAGAAGCAAGGAGAACTTGTGGAGCAGTGCTTTTGTGAAAGACTTCAGTGCTAGGAGCAGAGACAGTTCATCTGTGGTCACAGGAGAGAACAGCAAGCATTTAGGCACAGGTGGAGGTAGGTGGGAAAATGTGTAGAAGCTTGTGGATATTTTCTCTGAATGCTCTACTTTCTCAGTGAAATAGAAAGCAAGGACCTCAGTTGAGAAAGGGTGGAGGAGGCAGCATGAGAGGTTTGAGTGGAGAGGGAGGCTGAGAAACTATGTGGAATAAGGAAATATAATGAGGAACACAGCAAAATGAAGATACAGTGTCAGAGAGAAACTCAGCACGAAAGCCTGTAAGAGGGCTATTACAGTGGTCTAAATAAGATTTGGGCTTCTCAATCAGGCCAGATGCAGCACTGTTGATGTTATTAACATATAGGTAGTAATTGAACCCACATATGTGGATGAAATGGTCTAAAGAGAGCAGAGTGACATTAACAATTGATGGCACAGGATGAGAAGCCCAAACTTGGAAGGACCCTCCAGGGAAATAAAAGGAAACCAACAGAAAGAGGGCACAGAAACCAAGGAAAGAGTTTTGTGGAGGGAGTGGCCACCTTCCTGCTACTGCAGAGAGATGGATGAGATAAGGCTCCATGCATGCCCTCTGGGTTGATTATCTGGGAAGTTACAGTTTTGGTGATGGAGTAGGGAAGAACCCCATTTCACTGTTCATTAATGAGTAAATAAATAGAAACCAAAAGTAGAGACAGTAAATGAAGACTGTACTTCCAACAAAGATAAATAGTAAGGCCTTTACTAAGCCTGGAATGGCATTACTTGCAGAGGCAGCAGCTTCTGGAAACCCCTGGAGGCATGAAAGGACTTAGATAAGTAATTTTAAATAATTTAATATGAAATCTAAGTATATATATTTTAAATATTTGATTCATTTAGTTTTTTTTTTTTTTTTTGGTTTGTCTTTTAAAACTGATCAGTTCTCCTTGGGTGGGGAAAGCGAAGTATGCTTCTATTTAATTCTATGTGTACCTTAGCTAACTTTAAAAAAATACCCTGAGCCCTTTTTATATGAAATAAATTTTGAAATTGCTGAAGCTCTTGAAATTGGAAGGTAGGCAGTAGTATTCTTTTCAATAATAATGTGCTTCCATGCCTCTCTGCTATTCATACAAGTATTGGATGAAAGCTACCTCTTTTCCCTGCTTTGCTTGTTTCAGGATGTAAGTCAGAGTACAGCAGAAAATGTCCACTGAACGAACTTCTTGGACAAGCCTGTCCACCATTCAGAAAATAGCCCTGGGCCTCGGGATCCCAGCCAGTGCAACAATTGCCTATATCCTATACCGCAGGTATAGGGAAAGCAGAGGTATGTGAACCCTATGACTGTACATGTGAAAATGTTCAGACATGCTCCTGCCTTGTTAAATTGAAAAAAAAAAACTCTTTCCTTGCCAGGTATTGTGTGGGTTTTTTGTGGGGTTTCTGTCACCTAGCCTGGAGTACAGTGGCACAATCTTGGCTCACTGCAGTGTCGACCTCCTGGGTTTAAGCAGTCCTCCCACTTCAGCCTCCAAGTAGCTGGGACCACAGGCGTGTACCACACACCTGTATTTTTTGTAGAGATGGGGTTTTGCCATGTTGCCCAGGCTGGTCTTGAACTCCTGAGCTCAAGCAACCTGCCCACCTCGGCCTCCCAAAGTGCTAGGATTATAGGCATGTGCCTCCATGCCTGACTCAGGTATTGTGATTGGCTTTCTGTGAGGAATCTTTGACTAAAATTATTTAGTCTGGTTTTTTTTTTTTTTTTTTTTGCTTTGATATGGAGTCTCACTCTGTTGCCCACCCTGGAGTGCAGTGGAGCAATCTTGGCTCACTGCAAGCTCTGCCTCCTGGGTTCAAGCAATTCTTCTGCCTCAACCACCCTAGTAGCTGGGATTACAGGTGTGCGCCACCACTCCTGGCTAATTTTTGTATTTTTAGTAGAGATGGGGTTTCACCACCAGCGTGGCTGACCTCAAGTGATCCACCTGCCTTGGTCTCCCAAAGTGCTGAGTTTATAGGCGTGAGCCACCACACCTGGCCTAGTCTTTGCTATGTTCTTACATAGCAAAGTAAGCCAGTCTATGAAATGAACTCATAACTCCATTGATGTGTTTTATTCAGCAACATCAACATAGCAAAGAGTTCTTTTTTAATTTCTGTACTCATCTTTTTTCTATATTCCTTTTCCCTAGTTGTTAGTAGAAGGCACTTACCTCAAAGGCTGGATCTAATAGGACCTAGAGAAATGACTTATGTACATATCAGTCAGGAGAAGTTCTGAGCCTAATGAACCCCTCAGACAACCTTTGGCCTTCATTCTTCTCCAGTAGTCATGTCTTGGGAGAAGTAATTTGCCCAGACCCCAGCACCTCGTTATTGCAGAGTCTGTTTTTCCCATTTTAGCATCTGAAACAGTGTCCCAGAGAAAATGCCCATCTCTGATCTTTTAGGACCTTCTAATTCCCATTCAGATGCCACTTTTCCTTGTTACTATGGTTGAGATCCTCACTTTATCTCTTGGATCAGTGTCTCTTTGACAGCCAGATTCTGGGGAGGACTGGTAGTTATAATAGCTTTGAGTGTTACCTAAGTCTGATCTGATGAACAACGATCTGTGCAGAAGAGCGGCTGACATTTGTTGGGGAAGATGACATTGAGATAGAGATGCGGGTTCCCCAGGAGGCTGTGAAGCTCATCATTGGCCGGCAAGGAGCCAATATTAAACAAGTAAGTGTCTGAGCAGGCAGTCTGCTTTCCCAAGGATTGATTCTGTTTATTGATTTCTTGTTTCCTTCCACTGACCCCATATCACAAAACATTCTCATACTCTGTGTGTGTGTGTGTGTGTGTGTGTGTGTGTATGTGTGAATATATATATATATATATATATTTTTTTTTTTTTTGAGATGGAATTTCATTCTTGTTGTCCAGGCTGCAGTGCAATGGCACGATCTCAGCTCACTGCAACCTCCACCTCCTGGGTTCAAGTGATTCTCCTGCCTCAGCCTCCCGAGTAGCTGGGATTACAGGCACTCACCACCGTGCCTGGCGAATTTTTGGTATTTTTAGTAGAGATGAGGTTTCATCATGTTGGCCAGGCTGATGTTGAACTCCTGACCTCAGGTGATCTGCCTGCCTCGGCCTCCCAGAGTACTGGGATGGCCCAGCCACTATGTATATTTTTAAAAGAACAAATAGAGGAACTTTTTAGCTAACTAAACTTTTTAGACTTCCCTTCTAGAGAAGAGTACTTCTCCGTAGAGAAAGGATGACTTAGTTTGAAATATGGGTTTTTGACTGGGTGATTGTCAGCATGTTATAGCTTGAATTATCCTTTTCTTCTTCTTCTTCTTCTTCTTCTTCTTCTTCTTCTTCTTCTTCTTCTTCTTGCTACCCATTGTGTGTTTCTCTATTTTTTATATTTGATTTGTTAAAAATTTTTATTATTCACATTCTTTGTTGGCGTTGAGGCGGGTTTCCCAGTTCAAGTCTGTAACAAAGAAGCTCCCAGTCTATGAAAATGGGTTTGTTGTTACTATCCCTTCCCTCAGGACTGTTTAGTCTGGATTTGGGTTTGGTATGGTCTCTAATTTTCCACTGCACAAGTATCAGTCTTTGATATCAAAAGAATATATTCAAATCTCTGAAAATAAAAATGTGTTATTCCAGTGTTGTGTGTTCTTTTTTTCTTCTGATTGGCGTTTCAATGGAAATTTGGAAGCATCCACTGTTGCTTCTCTACACTGGGGAGCAAGCTGCAGACAAATACACACTACTATTGTATTACTATTAATACCATGAAAACTTTGCTATGAGTTAGCTATTTTATTGGTTTCTTGTTGGTTTCCATAATGCTTGTTTAAGCTTTAGCGATGATTTTTTGTTGGATTTCTTCTTACCACCCAAATGGTTGTCTTACGACCTAAGTTTTCTGATGATCGCTTCCCTGTCTTTCAAGTTCCATGGTTGGAAAAATTTCCCTTTTGCCGAAATCTTTAACATATTCAAGTATTTATATTTAATGTTTATTCTTATATATTTAGATGGAATGTGATTGAACTTGTAAGCTCCTGTTAAAAAGATATTCAACCCTGGGAAATTTCAAAAGGGTGCTGATGAATTCAAAATGTTGGAGGTTTCAACTTTCAGTGAAACCCATCACATTCTAGTTTGTTGCAGTGCATTAGTTAAGACAATCTAAAATTTCAGAGGCGTTTATGCTGCTGCAGATCCACCAAAAGTGGTAATGTGAAATCATAAAAGTCTGTTTATTCTCTCAATATTAATTTTTACTGCTGGCGTAACCATTTATTAGTCTGCAAGCACATTTCATTGCTCATTCAGATATTGGTGATGAACCACGCCTTTTTCTTCTGATCAAACCTGTTGAGCGATTCAACACTGAAGTTTGGAAACCATCAAATTCTGGACGTTTCTGCTATTGTTATATTGCGGCGGCGCCGCCGCTTTCCGTTGCTCCTAAGACCTCTTGTAAGGTGTTTGGGCGGCTTACCTGTCTCTTATTTGTGTTTTATTATGGTGTTCTTGGTGGCATTCATTTTTGAAGCGCTGTTCTTCTTTTTGTGTTATTAATGAATGTTAGTCTCTTATTATTATTTATTTCCAGGTGTTACCTATATCTTAATTGATGATTCTTTTGATTATGTAAGTATCGACAGGTTGCTGGTTATTATTTTTGTGGTACAGTTGTTTATTTATTATTAGGTTGATGGTTCTTTTTCTGCATTTTGATTGGGTGGGATTTTCTTTCTTAAAAACTTTTGCCACCCTTCTCTGTCCAGCTCATTTATTTTTGGAAATTTCAATCCCTTATTTTCTAATCTTGTGGTGATGATGTCTCAAGTGCCCGGAGCTTATTTTATTTCTTTAGATATTCTTTGATTTCTTTGTTATTTTTGTTGCATTTTATCTTTTTAAGTAATTTCATTGATAATAAGTTTTGTGTTTCTCTCCTTTGTGGCTGGTTCCCGGGTCTGGTGGCTGGGGAGGTTGGTTAGAATTGCATTTATACCTGTGATATTTGTTTCAATCTCATATTTCTTTTTGGATCTTATTCAGATGATTTGACATTTGCATTCAGTTTGTCTTGGCTGCCTCTGGGGAGGCCTTCCAGTTGCCCAGAAATGATCGTTGTTGTTATTGACCTTGGCGTGTTCCCGTGTGATCATTCGTTATATTACAATAGGCTTGTGTCATTATGGTGTGTTTCCCTCATTTATTTCAGTCAGAGTTATTGTGATGAAATGTGTGGATCTTTTTTTATTATTTACTAGTGTTAGGGAGTCAGGAAGGTTGGGTTACCTACCTTTAAATTCTGCTGAAGCTGAGTTCTTATTTAGTTTCTCTGTTTTTATTTTGTTCTGCCTCTCTCTTGGAAGTCTTGTTCTTTTACTGCACGTTTATTGCGTTACCCAGTTTTTCTGCGTTTGGGTGTTGCTCGCTGTTTCTTCACTTACACGCAACATTTACAGCTTTTACATTCTTAACGTTAACATTAACATATATCTGATGATATTCTTCCTTTGTTTTCCATTCTATTGTGACTTTGTTGCCCCTTTGAAGGCCACCTCGGTTTGGAAAATGGCGAAACTTTGGATGTACTCAACCTTCCCTTCCATCTTGTCTTGAATGTGGCGCCTCTTCTTCGGGTTGTTGATTGATTCTCCTTTTATATTGAAATGGCGTTACGACTCTGTCATTCTGTTGACTCCTGTCATTTTAAATGATAAAGTAAGCCTTAGCAATGCATATCAGATAGTTGTTGGCAAGTTATTCTGAAATACAAATGTCAGAAATTTCAAAGTTAGCTTTTTCACCAGAAAACCGTTATCTAACTACATGTCTCCTCCTTATTTGAAGTCCTCATCCTCTTGGCTTCCCTAGGAACTGTGGTCTTAAGTTCTAGTCTCTTCCTCCATTCACATTCAGATTTTTAAGTAATAAATCAAACACAAACTAGCAGTCAGTACTACACTTTGATTATCTGATTTACATTATATTGTTTCCATTTCTCTTTAGAGAAACCTACAACTGAAAGGATACTTTGAAATTATGAACTGAAACCACAGTGACAGATCAAGTAAATTCTCATTTTTGAGACATCAATGATAACTTCTTTACAAATTCATTTGTAATGTCTGAAGAGGAGTTAGTGGGGAATTTGCCACTGTGAAAATATAAAAGCTTCTTGTGGGTTACAGAATTCCATGCTGTTCTGTGATCTCTGAGGCTGTGCAGTATTCAACATATTATTGTTTCATGTTGTTATTTTAGGTTGTGATCCCTGTTCCCTCTATAAATTTTTTTGATTATTATATTTTGGATATAATCAAAAGAAAAATTTCACAACGTCAACCTGGATCTTCTTTGGTTTTACCATCCAGCCTCTTCGGATGGATCGTTTTTGTTCCAGGCCCCCTAACGCGGTCGTTCATTTGAATTCACAGAAAATAAAGTTATGATCGTCTCTTTCCCCTAAGTGATTAGTTAAGCGTCAAACTGACGACTGTTCCCTTTTTTTCTCTTTACACACGATTCTTCATTAGGCATTTCCCGATGATTTTCCATTGTTGGTTTCTGTTAGATCATGAATTCTTCTCCCTTATTAGTCACATTTATTTTCAATCTTTGTGGCATTTTGTGGCGTTGTCAAGTTCATTTTCGTTCATGGGCTAGATTTCAGTTCCCAAAGCCTTTAAGACCTAGAGACTCCTGCCCGTCAGGATCTTCCATGCCAGACAAGCTCCCATGAAGGCAGCTGCCAAGTCTATCTTGACTTTTGTGTCTACAGTACAGCACACATCAGAACTCAATACTTATTGGCTTGAATAAATGTCCATTTACTGCAGTTCATTCATGTAGTATTGGTTTGCAGAAGGAAAGTGAGTTGTATTTTAATGAGATGATTTTCCTTCTTCACCATCTAAGGCTTGAGTTCTAGCTCTTTCAGCTGTCACATTGACTAAGAAAATTTGCCTGATGCATCTCTCCATTATCTGCAGGATTGGTTCAGGAACCCCACAGGGCCAAATCTATGATTCTCATGTCCCTTGTACATAAGATGCATAGTATTTGCATATAACATACACACATCTTGCTATACTTCACAGCCTTCAGTGGAGTTCTCCTTTTTCTGTTTGGTTGGGATCGGTTCAGTTCCAGGCTGTTTCCAGACTCTTTCACCTCTTATCTAACATCTTGTTCATTATGGTTAGGTTATTCCACTTCCCAGAAAGCTGGAAGTCTGCTTTATTGCACGTTTGTTTGCGCCCGGCAGTCATCGTCTTAGTTTGGACGGTTATTCTCTGGAAGGGTGTGCCCAGTTTTCATTAGGTCCTCCACCTCAGCCTCTCAAAGTGCTGGGTTAACAGGCAAGAGCCACTGTACCCAGCTGTTTTTGGTGTTTGTTTTTTCTAGACTATGAAGGTTTCCAGAGTGAGATTGCTTCTTTTATATTCTGTCTAACATATAAGCACATAAGAAAGAGCTAGCACTGGCCTTAAGGCAGCATTAATAATGGAGACAAAGCTGGGAACGGTGATTCATATAAAGAAAATATCTAAATTAGAGCACGGTGGCTCTTGCCTTGTAATCCCCAGCACTTTGGGAGGGCAGGCGAGATCCACGAAAGTCAACGGTTGAGACCATCCACCAGCTAGTATGAGGCAGAGCCCTGAAACACACTAAAAATACAAAAATTAGGCAGG